GCTGGCAGCCTTGGCCACCCCAGGCGGAAGGAGGAGGATGCACCGTGAGACACGAGCCGGCGGAGAATATGCACGGCACGGCGATGGCTCTTTCCCTCTGTGTTTGTTTGTTTTTGCTATTTATCCACAGGTTCCCTCATCTCTGCGGGGGGCATTGCTCCACTTCTGCGTGACGCTTTCTTCCCTCTCCCGTTTAGTGCCAGGTCACTGGATTAGATTAGTTCATTTGTAGTATCTGGGTGTTGCGTTGACTGACATGTCCATTGTGGATTATTAGGCATTGTTGTTGTTGTTTAATCACAAAGTCGGGCCTGGCCCCATGGACAACATTCCTCCAGGCCTTCCTGCTCTCCACCATCCCCCGGAGTCCACCTAAGCTCACACCGACTGCTTCAGTGACTCCATCCAGCCCCCTCATCCTCTGCCGCCCCCTTCTTCTTTTACCTTCGGTCCTTCCCAGCATCAGGCTCTTCTCCAGGGAGTCCTTCCTTCTCATTAGGTGGCCAAAGGATTTGAGCTTCATCTTCACCATCTGGCCTTCTAAAGAGCAGTCAGGGTTGATCTCCTCTAGGACTGACCGGTTTGATCACCTTGCGTCCAAGGGACTCGCAGGAGTCTCCTCCAGCATCACAATTTAAAGACATCGCTATCTCAATAGGGATACCCTAAATTCAGTAACCTAGTCAATTGCAACCTCCAAACTAGACTACTGCAAAGCCCTCGACATGGGGCTGCCCTTGCAGGGTGTTCAGAAGCTGCAGTTTGTGAAAAACCCAGGGGCCAGGTTAATAACGGGGTTCAGGCGGTCTCACCATAAAGCGCCAGTTCTGGCCTGCTCGTGTCGGCTGCCCTTCTGCTTCCACCCATGTGTGCACACAGTGCTTCCAAATGTCCATGCAGACTTTTAGTAAGTCTCAGTGTTTGGGGTGAAAGGGAAGTAAGACTGGGGACATCCCCAAAGTGCACGACCAGCCGAAGCCAAGCCTGGAAAAACGAGCGGAGAAAGGAGCTGGACCGGAGCGCTGTGTCCATGCTCGTGGGAGGAGTGTGCAGAATCGCAGGCCACATCCCGTCAGTGCCTGCACAACCTGCCTCCAGTTGCAGATTCCCTCCCTGCTCATACATACCCTGCATGAGGAACCAGCTACAGGGTTCTGAAATATCTGTGCCCTATTTATAGCTTATCACAGAGTCAGCGCAGGCAGAATCTTACATAACAGCTCCCTGGAAAAAGCGGCCGAGAGTCTTACTAAGCGGCTCTGCTCAGTCCTGGCAGCCTTTTCATAGAAGCCCCCCTCCCAAAAAAATGTTAAGTCAGACGGGCAAGCCCACCCCTTCCCTCGGCGAAACACCTCCCATGCACACTGCTGGAGAGCAGCTCCGTGGATGCTCCGCACTTCCTCCGATGCTCGCCAAGCGAGCGACCAGAATGCTACAGAAAGGCCTCCTGGAGATCTTTTCTCAGGCAGAAGCACCACGATGCAACCGCAACCACAAATGAGAATGTGACACATAGTCAGGCTTGGCAGCCTCCCCCGTCTGGCCTCCCCCAGTCGGGCAGGTTCCCTGCTTTGGTGCCCTGGGTTGTGCCAGAGCTCAGCTCCCACAATGCACAGACAAGAGGCGGTTTCCTATTCTGTGTACTGGACTCATGCTTGCACATGTTCATGATATGGGTACACCTCTTTGGAGCCCGCAGATGTAAGATTGTTCAGTTGCAGCGAGTGAAAGTGTCTTACTCTCCTGGCTTATGGAACGTGCTCACCGAGTGTTAGCGAAGCCAACATTTCTCTGGCCTCTTCTAGATCATTCTTTTACATCTCACGCCGAGAAGCCAAGCTAGAACAGACTTCTGGGAACCCAACTTCGTAAGAGCGGTGGAGGCCGGGTGAGTCAGACGGAGGCCCACTATACCCCACACAGAGCGGCCACCCAGCTGCCCGTGAGAAACCCACGAGCAGGACACGGTTAAGACCACGTGCTCTCCCCCTGTTCCCCCCGACCGGAGCGCAAGCCGCCGGCCTCTGTTCCCCTGGGGCCAGAGGCCTGAACTTGCCCACTCCCCCTTTAAAGCTGCCCGTCACTACACCCCACAGAAGTGAATTTGCCATTTAATTTTGCACTGGGAAAGGGAGGACGCGTCTCCCGGTCCCTTCCCTCCACACCACGTGTCATCTTGTGCCCCAGCCCCAGCTCCTCGATCATTTTGTCGGTGCTGAGTGTCGTCAAGTTGTCTGCTGTGTGACCCACAAAGGGCACAGAAGCGCCACCCAGAATGTCCTGTCCCTGACCGCCCGGCTCAGCTCTTCTGCGGTCAAGGCTGCCTTCTTTTTGGGGATCGCTCCGTCTCCTCTTCTTTTCCTGCTTTCCATCTTTGCCACAGTTTTGCCTTCTCCAGTAAATCGTGTCCTTTTTGCCCTTTCTGCAACTACCCAATGTCATTTTTAGGTGCGGTGACCAGAACGGGAACACGACTTTTCAGGTGTGGGTTCGCCGTGGATTTGCATACAGGCAGCACGACCCGGGCAGCTCATTTTCGGTTCCCTCCCTAATTCTGCTTACTTGGAATTTGCTTTGCTCAAAGCAGCCGCGTGCTGGGATGACACCTGCAGTGAGCAGCCCTCCACAGTGGCACCAGCTCCGTCTTGGCCGGTCGTGGCTGGCCCTGGTTTCATCAGCCTCCCCAAGTTGGGGTTTTTCACCCCGACGTGTCCCCTGACGAACTGAACCGCATTGGCTCATTTGGGGCCCCATTCCCAGCTTGGAGGATCTTTGCCACAGCGGTTCCAGTGCATTTCAACAGCGGAACGCCCCCTTAACCATCCCACTCCTTCGAGGTCGAGCGCGATCATTACGAGGCACAAGAAAGGCACGCATTTTGTGTCCAGGTACCCGGGGGTCTCTGTGAGAGCAAGCCCAGGCTGCGGTGCCCCAGCTGGGACAGTCCTGGGCACATATGGACCCCCTTTCGGTTCTAGTCTGGCTGGAAACAGGCAGTAGGTTCCCTGTGTTGCCAAAAAGACAAAAGCTATTTTTGGATGCATTAAATAGAAATATTACTTCCAAATCACGAGAAGGAGTAGTTCCTCTGTACTCCTCACTAGTCAGACCTAACCTGGAGTACTGTGTCCAGTTCTGGGCACCAAGATTTAAGAGAGATGCAGGAAAATTAGAAAGGGTCCAGCGGAGGGCAACAAAAGTGATCCAGGGTTTGAAAGCACGGCCCTGTGAGGAGAGACTGGGAGGACTGGGCATGTTTAGCCTTGAGAAGACTGAGGGGGGACATGAGATCCCTCTATAAGTACCTCAAATGCTGTCACAAAAAGGAAGGTCAAGTTCTCTTCTCAGTCATCCCAGAGTGCAGGACACGGAATAGTCAAGTCAAGCTGCGACAACCCAGATTCAGGCTGGACATCAAGAAAAACTTCCTCACGGCCAGAGCGATACGGCAGTGGAAGCAGCTGCCTGGAGAGGTGCTGGCTCTCCCACACTGGGGGCATTCAAGGGGAAGCTGGGCAGCCTCTGAGTGGGGTGGGGTGACTTGGTGTCCTGCACCAGCAGGGGGTGGACTGGATGGCCTTCCGGGCTCCTTCCCCACTGCTCTGTGCTTCTATGATTTGATGCCTGGCTTCAGACTGGCTGCCCAGCAGGTCTCTGGGTGCCCTGCTCTGCCTTGTTTCCGCTGGGGGCCGGGGAATGAAGCGCGTCTCCAGCTGCCGGCTGCAGCCAGTTTTCTTCCAGCTTCCCCAAGAGCATCTCCAACGCAGCGCCCGCCACCAGCAGACCCACGGAGGCTCTTCTCCTCCAGCTTGCTTGGGGTCTGCTTTGGCCCCCCAGCCCGCTCCCCCAGGGTAGCTCTTCAAGACAGGGTTAAGCTCTCCAGTCGGGCTCTGGATCGGCGCTTGGTGAACCTCACCGGGGTCTCTGCCGGGCATTTGATGTGTCTCCAGAGGCAGCTGAACTGCCAGCCTAGAGAAACGCTTCGGACATCCCCCCAAGCGGGTGGCAGTCCCCAAACGGTGCAGACACGACAGTGGCCAGCGTCCAGCGAGCCCGGCAGTGCCCCACTGCTTCGTTGCAACAGCCAGCGGGGGCCCTCCTCTAGGAGGGAGCGCTTTATTTATCTGTACATTGAACGGGAATCAATGTCTAACGTATTTCATTAAACACACACGCACACAAACACAAACACTCCATGATGGAACGAGAATCTGTTTGCTTTTGATTGCTAATTAGTGAAGTACTTTTCCCAGTAATAGGAAAGTTGCCACGCGCTTCGCATGGCCAAAGGCTGCGATCCACCAGCTGGGAATTCCATTTCCGGGACACCCAGTGGGGGCAGGGGGCTTTTCCGTCCCACCGAGCAGGGCAGACGGCAGCGAAACGTTCCCTCCCGATTCTGCGCATTTTTTCCAGGCCCTTCAATTTGCACAAATTGTGAGAACTGGATCTTTGTCGCAGGGGCAGAGTCTTCAAATCTGCACGAACGGGCTGCTGGCAGACAGGCAGGCTTCCAGTCATGCTCAAGGTCACAAGCCCATTTGCCCAAATATCAAGACTCCCCCCAAGCCAATGTGCATACATTATGATCATTAAAAAACAACTGAATCGGTATCTCAGGCTGCCTCTCCATGGACTGAGTCAATGCCAGCAGAGGGAAACGGAACCAACTCTGCCACGGCTCAACCAGAGAACCTGCCACGACTGCACCCTGGGAACAGGCTGCCCCGGCCTGCCCCGGGCCAATGTGCCTCCTCGCGGTAGCCGAAGCCACGGCCTTCCAGGGTGACTCAGCCCGGCCGTCCCCTTACCCCAGAGCGCAGAAGCCACGGTCCAGCCGGCACAGGGCGGCTGCGAAGGGGTGCCCCGGCGTTGGGAGCTCGCTCCGGAGCCTGCCCCAGAGAGATGGCCCCAGCCCCACCAGCCCACGCGCGACGCTCGGCACAGGCCACGAGGCCCCCCTGCGAGGATGCCCGGGGGAGGAAGGGGGGGGGACTTACACTGCACGATGAGCTGCACCAGCGCCTCCCGCGGCTTGACGTTGAACCCGTTGTACTGGCTCGTCTGGCACCGGTACGTCCCGGTCATCTCCCGGGAGACGTTGACGATCCGCAGGATGCCGTCATAGCTCTCCATCTGCATCGAGCCGTCGGGCATGGGCACCTCCTTGTCGGCCCTGGACCAGAGGATGATGGGCTTGGGCTTCCCGGTCACCTGGCACTGCAGCTCAATGGTGTCTCCCTCCCTGGTGACCAAGGGCGACTTTTCTTGCGGGACAGTCAGATTGGGTGGAACTTCAAATGGGGGCAAAGGGGGAGGGAGGGGAGAGAAGCACAATGGAGAGGTTAGTACGGGGCAGTCCGCGCCCGGAGCACCTCGGCGCCGCTCTGGTGGCTGCACTTGCTGCCGCGGGGCTTGCACTTGCCGACGGGGCCTCGGGCGCTCGCGCGCTCTCACAAATACTGCGTGGGGTGGAGGTCCTGCGTGCCCAGACCGGCATGTACATGCGCACGCGTCCCTTTGGATTTCTGGGCAGAAGGGGGCTCCCACAAAAGGTACGCTTTTTTGGAGGGGTTTTTGTCAGTGCCTCTGAGGACACAAGGCCACGTGGCACCTCCGCCCAGAACAGGGATGAGATCCCCTCACCCGAACTCGGCACAGTTGCCCCTGACACCCCGAGACAGATAAAACCAGGCAGTCGCTCCGTTTGAAGCACTCAGCATCGACACCACCCATCATCCACGCACAGAGACACCTCTTTGCCTAAGCGGTTTTGTCAGCGCATGCCTCGAATCTCACGCTGCCCGATCTCGGGAGCTCAGGCACCGGTGAGCATTTCGGTGAGGGGTCGGCTCGGAACTGTGGGGAGGGCTCTGTGGCGCCCCCCCCCCGCATGAGGGGGGCCTGAAGTGTGATCCTCAGCACCTCAGCAGGGCTGGGAAAGGGTTCTGCGTGAGACGCTGGGCAGCCACTGCTGCCAGCCTGGGCCAACACGCCTGGGCCAGACGGACCCAAGGCCTGAGCTGGCCTCAATCGTCTGAAGCCCTGTGGATTTTGCCAAGCAGGAGGCACCAGGTGAAACCCCCGCATCTCCCGCCCAAGCCCAGGGTCACGCACCCCCTTTCCCGGCTCGCCTCAACTGCCAGTCACGGGGGGGGGGGGGGGTCTTGCAGGGCCTCAGCCTGCCCTGAATAGGCTCACCTATTTTCTGCAAATTAAAATGGGTCTTTGAGAATGGCTTGGTTTTAGGAACACACTGCAGTGAAGCTCGAGCACTGAGAGGCAGACCCTCTGCAGCAGAAGGCCGCTTCTGGCACTGTCTGAACAACTGAAAAGAGATGCTCCTGGTATCTCTGGGGAGGCTGAAATGCTCCAAACAGGAACCATGAATCACCAAAGCAAATACGAAGAAATAAAACCCCATTGCCCGCGATGCAGCCGGATGCACGGGCGGTTTGTGAAACGTGACAAGCGAAATGCCCTCACTGAATCGCTCCTCTGGATTCGGTGATGAACAGGTCCATCACGCATCGTGCCAGCAGAACGCGGAGGTGCCAAAAGGCCTTTGGCAACACCGCTGCCCCCGCTGCCTTGCAGTCGGAACGAGCATGCGGGCGACCGAGGCGGCTTGGCTCGTCCAGCGCCCCGGGAGCCCGCCCAGCTCCTGCTGCACCCACACCTGGGCCAATGCGCCTGGCCTGCTGCGCCCGCGCTGCCCCGAGGCCGGATGCTGCGCGGGTCCCGTGGCCTCACGCACCCCCCTTCCAGGAGGCTGCACCGCCCATCCAGTGGCACGAAGGGCTCCGAGATGGACCATGCCAGCGCTTGTCCCAAGCCCCGCTGCCTGCGTCTGTCGCTCCGGGAGGCATGCCCCGGGGTTCCAGCACGAGGGACTTTGGCCCCAGCCTGAAGGGCTCAGCCCTCTGGTCCGACACAGCGTGAAGGGGGCCACCCGCCCCTGCCCAGGCGATGCAGCTGAGCCGGCCAGCGTTCTGGGATGGACAAGCCTTACCTGCCTATTTTAAAGGTGCTCTGTCTTTCCCAGAAAAATGGCAGCAGTGCCTCACAGAAACACTCAAACTGATGAAAACAACATAGCTGCACACCAAAATGCAACAGCAATGCAAATATTATAGGAAAAGCCCAACATTTACTATTAAAGACCATACCTAGCCTCACCGTCCCCCTTAATGGTGGAAGGCAGTACCAGGAAAGACTTGCGTGAGCGAGGAAAGCTGAGGGACTCTCACCTGCCCTGCCTCTCCGCAGCTCATTTTTTAAATTTGGAGATTAATATTATGGATCAAGGAAGAAAAAGAGCATAGTGGTTGGAGTCTATTACCAACCACCCAGCCAAGGAGAAGATGTGGCTGAAACTTTTGAAAAGGAAAAGGCCAGTGTTTCAAGGAGGCATGATGTGGTTGTTATGGGGGACACCCGTCCTCGTATCTGTTAGGAGACAAATTCTGCCAAGCCCCCCGAGAGATTTCCAACAGAAAGTGGAGGAAGGAACAAGAGGACCCGTTCTCCTTGACTGGATACTAACCCACAGTGAGTGGCTAGTGGACAAAGGGGCAGCTGCGGGAACTCTGGGGTGAAGCGACTGTGCCGTACCTGCATCCTCGATTCTAAAGGAAGCAAAGCCCAACGTAGCCAAACAGGTACCCTGGATGTCAAGAAAGCCAATTTTAGTCAACGCAGAACTCCCATGACAGGTGGCTTGAACTAAAAAAGAAGTCCGAGAAGGGTGGGATATCCTTAAAAAAGAAATGCTTAAGGCACGACTACAAGCAATTCCAACGACGAAAAAGAGCAGCAGGAAACGGGGGGAGCCCATGTGGCTTCTCAAATGCTAAGAAGTGATCTGAAAAGCAAAAAGGATGTGCAGGGGAGGAGCTGGAAGGAAGGCCAGGCTGCCAAGGAGGACCATATGCTCAAAATAGCACAAAATTGCAGGGAAGGTATCCAGAAGGTGGAAACGGTGAACGGACCGGGGCCAGCGAGGGGGGCTGAGAGCGACAGAAAGGCCTTCCTCAAACACGCCCAAAGCAGGAGACAGACGAAAGAGACGGGGGTGCAGCCGCTCACTGTGGCTGGAACCGTGATAACGGGGGCCGAAGGAAAGGCAGGAGGGCTCGACTCCCGCTTTGGCCCAGTCTTCCCGCAAAAGAAGAACCAGGACCCTCTGGCGAAGGGGCAGGAGGGCAGCCCCAGGCTGGCAGGCAGGGCTCAAGGCGGCTCCGACTGGCCACCTGAGTGCAAGTCTCCAGGGCCTGGGGAGCCCCATCCCAGAGGCATAAAGGAGCTGGCGGAAGAACCCTGGGAATCGATGCCCATCATCTCTGAGAATTCATGGAAGGCCGGAGGAGTGCTGGATGACTGGAGAAGGGCTAACAATTTTTCTAACAACAAGGAAGGGAAAAAAGAAGAAACAGAAACAGAGCCAGTCAGAATGGTGCCCCCGGGCCATCTAGTCTGACCCCCAGTCAGCTACACTCACGACATGGCCACCACGTGCAGGTCCAGCCTGTCCTTGGACACCCGCACCGATGGGGTTCAGCCACCTCCCGAGGAACCCCATTCAATACCTAGGGGCCCTAAATGTCAGGAAAAACCTGGGAAGTACAGACCACCCACTCCGACGTCAGTCCCTGGGAAAACCCTGGAGCACATTATAAAGCAGTCAGTCTGTAAAGCCCCTCCCAACCCTCCCATTCTGTGTTTCTGTGACAACCTGCCCTGCTCCTCCATAGCCCAAGGCAGTCCCAAGGTGATGTGAATAAAACAGTAAAAGCAATATAATATGACAATCAAAAATTAAATGGAGGCATAAAAGCCATAAAGCCATCTAATAATGACAATCCATCCAAAATCAATTTTGCTCGTGGATTGGATTCACTTTTAACATTTTCAAATTCTCCCCAAATGTTTGCAAAACCGGCACATCTCCCTTGGGCACAGAAGTGTTCAGGGCTGGTGCTGCAGCGGGGTTTTTCTCCCGGGGCAGCTCGCTCGCAGCAGGAGGGGCGGGGGGAGAGTTCACCTGCCCTCGCGGGCACACCCCCTTGGGTGCGGATCCGATGCACTCGGCGCCCCGATGCAAGAGGAGGAGGCCCGTGTCTGTCTGGGCCAAGCACCTGATCCTGTCACGCCCATTAAGGCCACAGACCCCTATGTTCCCTTGTATGGCTTGGGCCCCATACGATACCACTGTGGGGGCATCATGCTGTGCACTCGAGGGACGACCCAGGGATTCATGGGGGGGGTCAGAATCCACTGGATTCCCTGGGCTTGGCTCTCTGCTTCGACGTGGCCATGGGTTGGGGCGCAACCGTGCCCAACGCTCATGCGCTTGCCAGGGACTGGGCACTGCACTCGGCGCATGCAGTGTGCCTCTTCCCCGCCCATCGCAGCAGCCTCTCGCGCTGCTGCACACGACCCAGAAGCAGGGTGCTGGTGTGGAGCCCTCCCCCTGCCAGGGTCCGTGACCCCCTCTTGGCCAGGCGTGCTCTCCCAGGCCGGGCCGAGCGTGAGAGGAGGCCCCCGAGCGCACAGGGCCAGCCTCCAGGGCGCTCCGAGCGTCCCTGGCCCGATCCAGTCAGGGGCCGCTCCGCAGCTTGCTCTGGGCTCCGAAGCGCTGGCGAGAAGTGGCGGGCGGTGGGCTGGGCTGGGCGCCCCTGATGCTCTGCAGCGAAGCCCACGCCCGGGAGAGCGTGGCACGAGGGCACCGCGGGGCCCCGTGGCAGCAGGAGGGGGCCTGGTGTCTGCCCCCCCCACGGCCTCTGCGCCACACACGGGGCGGGCCGCATTTGGCCCCTGCGGGCGAGCGCTGCACCCTTGGCCAGCTGCCCTTCGGAAAGGGGAGCCGGCGGGTGAACACGGGAAGGAGGGAGGGGCTGGGGGGCTGCGCGGGGGCTTCTCCCACTGCAAAGGACTCCCCCCGGGGGCCGGAAGGGCCGGGAAGCCCCAACGAAGCTCAGGGACTCTCGGGAGGGGGAGCGCCCGCCCCCAAACCGCAGTGGGCCCGTCCGCAAGAGGCTGCTGGGGGAGCAGGAGGGCACTGAAGGGGGTTGTTTGGGGGCTGCTCAGAGGCATGGCTGGGGGGGCACGTGGGGGGATGAGGGTGCCGGCCGGCATTTGGGGTCCTCTGCTGGGGCCAACGGGCTGAGGGCCACGCACTGTGGCAAAGCCCCCCCTCGCTGGCTGGGACATGGGGCCCGGCCAGGGTCGGTTCCGGGGGCAGCCCGGGACGCCCCCGCCCCGTGATCCCGGCCTCTCAGCGCCTGCGAATGGC